TCCATTCACAGATCTTGATGACATAACTGCTGAGAAATATTTTAATCTTATTTTCATGCTAACATTTGACCCCAAATGACTTGCCTTTTTGTGCTACGCCCAGACAAAAATGTCCAAAGATGGGGAAAAAAGAGCATTTGTAATTGGCTAGCTATTCCCTTGAAAAAGATGGTTTTAAAAAAAAAAAAGACTGGAAATTGTTTCTCTTTAATTTACTTATTGTTCACAGATACCTTTTAAAATGTTTTGTTAGTTACAAAAAGTAGACCATAAAAAGAGGCTGCCTTCTTAAACCATGTTGCCTTGAATTTTATAACAGCCAAACATGAGATATTTTGACATAATATTTCTATCATATCTCATTTAATGTGTACATGAATATAATGTGTATTATATGTGTAATATATATACACCATTGCTTTTAGAATAAAAATCAGATATATATTTTTTTATTTTATTATTATTTTGTGTGTCTGTGTACCGTCAAATCAGATCTGACTGGTACAGTTGGAGACTGTCCCTCCTTTCCCGGCATCTGGTGGATTCGAACCATGCCAGATATATTTTTTAAATAAAAGATCAATGCTCAGAAATGTGCTTTGGAAGAGAGGCCCCCAAGGAAATTCTGAAAAACCAGTAAGTATTGCAATAGTAAACAGTTATGAATAAATTTGTTGTCTACACAAAGAAAAGGCTACTGACATCATTGAATGTGTAAAAGAAAAGGCGCCCACAGAGTATTTCTTAAATGATAGCTCTGTAGATATTCAGTTCCTTGAGTAAGAAAATAAAATGTGCTCACAGAATCCCAGTAGCACCACGGGGCAAAAGTTTAGCCAAAGGTTTGTATGTAGACATTGTTAGGCATATGTTATTAGATGATGAATATTTATTTGAAAACCTTTAAGGAAGTCTGGTGCATACTGCATTTAGAAAACGTTTTGCTTTAAGTAAATCTTTCCAGTCACAGAAAATGTTTTCATAATGTGGGCTCTATTCAGAAGTGGAAAATCTCTTGATGAATGAGTGATTCGCATACTTAACCGAATCTATCGTGCTGTCATAATAGACCCTTTTTAATAAATGTCTTGCTTAAAATGTCATTGTAAGGCTAGAATGGAGTCTCTGCATTTCAGAAATTAGTCCAGAGATTCACTCACTGCAAATTAAACCACAAAAAAATGGAATGTGCCAGCTGACACAAAATGTACAGTGTAGGTTTAAATTGCATTAATTCTTTCACCTTAGAACTATAATTTACAAAATATAATTGGCTTTGCTCTCTTCATACCTTAAAGAAGGGATCTGAGGAGCAAGCCATATATGCAAGGAATGGAATACAGTTTCAAATATTAGCTGCTATTAATTATTTCCTAAGATTTCCCAATGGAAAACAGAGTATCATAAAAAGAAAATGCTAGCATTTTTCTGCCTTCAGTAATGTATTCTTTTAATTCTTATTTCATTTTTAAGTCTCTGTATTATATACTCCTGTACATAAATAATTCAATTTTGAGGTAGCTATGCATGGATTTTCAAAATGGTATTTATTATTCTTAATAAATATTCCAGGGACTGATATAAATATTTCCCTATATAAACAATATGCCTCTGGAAACTCTATGAACTTTGATGAATGTCGATAATTGTAGAGGGGCTTCAGGCCTTTTGTTCATAGGGTCGCTATGAGTCTTGCTCGACTTGAAGGCAACCAACAACAAATTCATAACACGAGGGAGCTCTGGTGGCCTCGTGGGCAAGGAGTTGCTGTCAATCCAAAGGCATGTGGTTCTAACCCCCGTGCCGTTCTAGGGAGGAAGAAGGACAATCTTCTCCCATGCAATTTACAGCCTCTGAAAACGTGCTACAGGGCCAGCTGTGAGTCAGTTCTAATGGCATTTAGCAACAACACCGACAGTTCATAGTGAAGGTTGGAGAAAGTGCAGCCAGTGTGCTTCTTAGAGTCAAGAATGATGACTCATTATCTCTCATGCTTGGGGCATGTTGTCAGGAAGGGACAATTCTTGGGGAAAGACATAATACAGGGAAAGGTAGAGAGGCAGAGAGAGAAAGACCGTCAATGTGATGAATTGACACAGCAAATGTCAGAAGGGGCTCAAACATAGAGGGGATCGTAAGGGTGATGCAGAAGAGAGCAACATTCTGATTTATTGTTTATAGGGTTACTATGAGTTGTGACAACAACTAGTAATTCATATCATCTTCATCATACCCGTATCAGCAGCTTCTATTGTTACACGAATTTCTAGAGGAGGAATTTGAAACTGTAATATCTAAAGCAACCCGACGAGAACAACCCAGCTCATAAGTGAACACATCCAGGTTGACGTCCAAGCAGTCTGACTTTCTGGTGCTCCTCACCTCGAAATGTTTGTGTCGTTTGTGATTATCAGCAAGAATAATCTTTTAGAAATGTTTTCATTTTAAAAACCCAATGTTTTTAAAAGCTATCTTTCTGTGGCCTGGTCATCCTACACAAGCTCAGATAAGATGGACTTCTTCTGAAATATTTACACGAGCTAGGGGGGCAGAGAGCCACAAATGTAGAAACTAGAAAGCAGGCTGCCTTGACTCATGAAGGATGATTTTACTGACCTTAGGATGCAAAATTGGGATTGCTACTCGCTACAAGGTCTGTATCTTAATATAACAAGCAAGCAAGCCCAATTTAACCCTCTTTGCTATCAGATAGAACGGACTCTTTTATCATACTGTGATTTTTTTCCTTTAAAATTTCTCTCTCTTACTGTCAGTGGGAGTATACATGAAAACGCGCACCACTTCCACACTTACCACATGTGCCGTTCAGTGACATTGATCACGTTCTTAGAGCTGTACACACATGCTCATTCATTTTCTGAGTTCTTTCTCCCTCATTAACGTAACCCATTGCCCCCTAACATTCCTCTCTAATCTAAGAGCTAGAACAGATGCACTGACTACATTATTAGGCCAATTAACTGTGATGTCCTTGAAACCATGAACCTAAATGTCCAAACCTAGGGACCAGATCCCATGAGATATTTGTTTAAACATAAACAGCTTTGTTTTTTACTATTCTGTGTGGTAGAGCAACTTTCAATTTCTAGAGAAATCTGCAGAAATTAGACAGTTTATATATGTGTTACTCCTAGCTCTGTAGATGGTTTCTCATATTATTAATATGTTCCATCATCCATGCAGTACATTTCTGACAAGACATGGACCAGAACTGATACCTTGTTATTAACTGGAGTCCACAGTTTACATTGTGTTTTACCCTTTGCCTTGTACATTGTGGGAGTTTTGTCAAGTTCATAGTGTCATACATGCATGTATCATTACTGTATCAACTAAATAGTTTAACTGCCCTAAAAATGCCCTGTGTTCACTCTCCTCATCCCTCTCTATGAATCCCCAGTAAACGCTGGCCTCTTTTAACTGCCTCTATAGTTATGCCTTTTCCAAAATCTCATTCCTAGCTTTGTAGTTGATGACAAATTTGATATTGGAAAATAATACAAGAAGTAATGTACATTAAGCATGATTGGCTTATTAAGTTGTTAGTCTTTAATGATAGTACAGTGATACATTGCTTACTGTCCATGAAAGATTCTGGGAAATAGGATGTTATATTATTTGGACATTGTGCAAACACTGTATTATATACACTGTGTTATAAACAGATTAGATTACAAATGAGTTCCTATCCTAAGTCTATCTTTAAGTTTAATTCATACTTAAGTCAGCATAGTTACGTATGTGTTGTGTTGTTATGTGCCTTTGAGTCTCCTGCGACTCATAGCAACCCTAGGTACAATAATGCCTAATAGCTATTTAATATTTGAACTAGTCAAATATTTGTTTCAGTCTATAGTGTATAGTATGGAATTTATATAGAAAGTATGCCTAAAGCTTTATAAAAACATTAAAGACACTCGTCTAGACACACTAAGACATCTTTAACATAATAATGATAATAATAATAACATCTTGATGTGTAACACAAAGTAGCCCCTAATTGTTTGTATGAACTGTTGTATGGACTTTACATTTTTAATGTAATAGATTTTACTGAGGTTGGAACCATGGATGTATATGCAGTTGGACATTGCCCAAATGGAGAGTATGCAGAAGTTTAATGAAGTTCCTCTTTCTCAAATAGTTCATTGAGTGATTGCCAGTGTAGATGAATGGAGCAAGACCATCTAAATATTTGTAGCATGATCAGTGGCTCAGTCAAAATTCATTTGGCCCAGGTTTTCTCAATCTTGTCAAAGATTCTAACAAGGCTCTTACTCTATTGTCTGTGGTAGTTTGGGGCTCTGCCTTCTGATCACAATGAGATCCTTGATGGCGGGGAATTCTGCATTTGTTCATTTTCCCATCCTCCAGTATTCATAGTATCTAGCTTACATTATGCCCTGAATCAAAAAGAGCTGAGCATGGGAATAAATTAAAGAGGTGGAAATGAATTCAGCAAGCCTTCATGAATGCCTCTTGTATCCGCATCTTATGACAGGGACTCCAACCCTTGTCTCTTGGAGAGTTTGCATTCTATGGAACAGATAGTATAAATAATGCTATTGTGTGAAGGCAGATGTGCTGTGAAAGAGACACCCAGAGTATTGTGTGGCTACTGAGGCCTTTAGGAGAGGCTGATGGGTGGGACAGAGAAGATTCAGAAACTCAGCTTGCTTTTAGGTAGAGATGGTAGAGGGAGAGCTATGATAAGCCAGGAGCTTAGATGGTGGGAAGAATAATTAGAGACAGAAATCTTACAGCACAGAGTGAAGAGTGAAATTAGCTTCATGCTGTTGACGTTAGTTTTTTATTTATTTATTATAATACTGTATAATTAGTTTAATTTATTCATTAGAATGCTATATCGTTTAAAAAAATTCATTATAATATTCTGTTACACAATAGTAATGTGGAATACCTATCTTCATGAGCATAGCATATCTTTCACTGAGTGACAATTATCTTTTTAATTGCAGTTCCAGTTGCAGATGTTTGATATTGTCTGCTCCACATTATGGGCCAATAAAGACAAATGCTGCGAACTTCCGGGCCTGGTAAGAATTCTTTCATTATTTGGTCTGTCATTTATAGACATTTTTGAAATTATATTCCATTTTTTTTTTTCTGGAGATGAGAAGCTATTATTTAACACTCCTCTCATGGGTAATTCATTCTGATGGAATTAAAACTAGGATGTGGTTAAGGAGGAGGCATACCAGGTCCAACACTTCTCTTCATACGTGGTATATACTGCACAACTCCAGGGGGCACCATTTGCACAAAGTCCAAATGGCCCCAGATTTATAGGTTTGCAAAGCCTTTCATATTGCACTAATTTTCCTTCAAATGAGATAATCACCAATTATGTGATAATTGTTCTGGACTCCTGTCATGACAATTATACCCAATCATAAATCTCTTTTAAACAGTTCTCTTCCTCATCTGTTTCAATGCAGTATACATTATTTATCCCATCTTACTCAGTCTCCCCTCAAGGCCTATGTCAGTCCTCTTTTATAACAGTGGCATTATGCAGTATTTGTTCTTTTGTGACTGAGATATTTCACTCAGCATAATGTCTTCCAAGGTCACTCATGTTGTGTAATGTTTTAGAAGTTCATTGTTTTTCAGTGCTGCATAGTACTCCATTGTATAAATATACCATAGTTGCACTTAGGGAGAAAGATAAGCCTTTCAGCTCCCCTAAGATTCAAAGTTGGGGAACCTCTATGGGACACTTCTTTTCTGCCCAACAGGATTTTCATGAGTCAGAATTGACCCGAAGGCAAAAAGTTATGATCTGTTTTCAGCTGGACTCCATGCCTGGTTTTGTCAACATTCCATTGGATAGGAAGTGACTTCTAGGCACCATCCATTCTGTATTCATAGAAAAGAGTTCCAGTTAGAAGAGAATACACTTTGCATCTCTGACCCAATGTTCCCTTGAAAATCTTTAAAATATTAAATAGTTTTATTTAAGAAAGCCATTTGTATAGACTGCTGTGTAACAGTTGTGCTGTCTTCCTTCTTCAGAGAGATGAGGAGACCTGCCCTGAGCTTCCACATTCCTGCTCCTGCTCTGAAAACAGCAAAGGGACTCTGGGACCAGCAGGCCCCCCAGTAAGTCTTGCCAAGCTTAAGCTTCCTGTGGATTAAAGCTTTTTAATAATATTAATGTCTATCACTTATATGTCTGCATATGTTGGGTGCTCTGCTGACTGCAACACGTGTTCTTTGCTTAATCCTGTGAGTAAACTGTGGCACATTGATGGTAAGTGACCTGGGGACAGAATGCAGGAAAGGACATCATGCTTGGAAAGGCAGAGGGTCAGCAAAAAAGAGGAAGACCCTCAGTGAGATGGAGTAACACAGTGCTACAACCATGGGTTTGAGCATGATGGAAATTGTGAGGATGGAGCCAGAGAGGGCAAAGTTTGGATGTTGTTCATAGAGTCACAGAGAGTTTGACAGTTCCCAAAGAAAAGAAGGAAAGGGCATGCAAGCAAATAAAGAAAACCAGGCTTGGCAAGAAGAACATTCTTAAATCAAACCTGTCCTTGCACGCAGATCAGCCCATACAGCCCAACAAGGTCAGCACCATGAGTACATAACCCACAATGACAGCTGGCTTCCAGCATGAAAGATCACTGCAGGTGGCCCTACACCCTTCATTTTCGCACTTTCCTACTATATTTCCTTATACAAACAAAGAGATCAAGAACCTTCTGAATATATCTGAGATCCACCCTGACAGGTCCTCCTTTATAACTCTATAATATCATTGTTTTCAAGGTCAGAACATAAAACTTTTTTCCCCCCCTTTTAAACAGCTTTTTTATCCTACAAAAGCAGATATGGAAAAATACTAAAATCATTACATTTAAATCACAAAACTAAACAAGTCATTGAATCACCATGAACCTCCAATTCCTCATTAATAAAAGAGTCCCCAACTCTTTAACTGGTATTGTGAGGAGTACACAAGACTTGATGTTGTAGATGAATTCTGTGTATTAGAAAATTTTAACCAAACGTGAAGTTGTTGTTGCCTTTAGTTGAATCGGGGAATTCAAAGCACAGAGCAGGGCTCAGCTGTGTCCCAAATATTCTGGCCCAGCTTCAGTACAAGACAAAGTAGTAGTATGTGCAAGAGTTTATCAAAATTGTTTCTCCCTCAAAATCATCTAGTGTGTTTGTGGAGACTCTTCGATGATTATTACGAGGTACAATAAGGTATGAAAAGTAACAAATATATTTCCTTCAGGATACTAAAAGTTGACTGTTCTGTGGCCAGAATTTGTTCACATACATATTCATCGTGGATGGTCTTGTTGAAAGTCCCATATTTTCAGACATAAGCCTTCAGTCTAGTGGAGGGTAAATTAATGCTTGGCTTCTCAGACTGCTCTTTAAATGGGTTTTGAAGGTACACATGAGAGACCCTGCTATTTACAGATTGTTTTATTTCTCTGGTTTTCTTTGCTAAAAATCACCGCTGCCTATTTTAGAGCGTACCCTATGTACAATGAATTTTTTTCTTTTTATACCTTTCAAGAAATTAGTGTTTACTCGTAAAACATTGCAAACTTAGAAAAAAATTATATCTTTTTTACACTACCATGTAGATTTATCATTTCCTGTTTATTTGTCCAGATCACTCTTTAATATTTACTTCCCCTTTTGCTTGGTTGAGATTTTATTTATTTGCCTTTTGTGGTAGTTTTTTTGTTCTTAATCTCATTCTCTTACTCCCCTCTCCACTAGTTTGTAAATGATATCTGTTATTTTAATCTTTTACCTAGAAATTTTAGCAGATGTGTTTAGCTTGACATCTAAAAAGTTAGTATTTCTGCGCTCTTTTCAGCTAACATGCTGTCCTTGGAACTTTTTTCACTTTGGACAAACTTATTTATAATTTATGAGCTGTTGCTCAGCAGTGTTTTTAATAACTCACGTTGGACATTTTGACTATTATTTTTACATGTTACGAATTATTATTTGTTCAGACTTTCCTACATATTGGCTATTTTTTTTTTCCCCTCACAGTTTCTTCTGGCAAGATTTTCTTTTTCCTAAAGAATATCCATTGAATATTCATACATTATGTGACTAGTAGTAATAATTCCCAGTTTGCAATTTAAAAATGCTTTTCTTTCCCACGTGGTGATAAGTGTAGCAGAGACTGCTCACTCCGGCTCACATTCACTCTCACTGCCTCCTTGTTGTTGCTGTTGTGTGCTGTTGAGTCAGAACCAACCCGTAGCGGACCCTCCAGTGGACTTCAGAAGCAGTTACTGACATTGGAGGGGATTGCCCAGCCTCCTGCAGAGCAGCTGCTGGACTTGAACTGTGTGCCTTTGGGGTTGCAGAGCAGCTTCTTACTGCTAAGCCACCATAGTACTAAAATTCTCTGTTTTTTGGCTATGCTCAGGGTCATCTGGACAAAGACTTAATTGCTTAGAATCTTATGAAAGGGAGTGTGCTCTGAGTAGGGTCTGTCCTTAAATACTATGCAGCGCTGAAAAAACAAGGAACTCATGAAATATTATACTAAATGGGTGACCCTGGAAGACATTATGCTAAGTGAAATATCTCAGTCACAAAAGGACAAATACTGCATAATGCCACTGTTATAAAACTGGCCTGGCCATTGGGGTTGGGGGGAAACTAAGAAAAGAGGGGATAAATAATGTATACTGCATTGAAACAGATGAGGGATAGAACTGCTTAAAAGGAATATATGATTAGGTATTATTTGCATGACAACATTCTAGAATAAGAGCTGCATAGTAAAGTGGACTCGGGTATGGAGTAGGGAATTGTACAACAATGAAAGAATGTTTGTTTGTTTTCTTTTTTCAAAGAGAAAAGTGAACTGGGCGGGGAGGCAGTGAGGAAAATGTGGAACAATGAATGAATGGAAATCTAAGTTCTTGATAAATTTTCATTACAATCTAAAATAAAAAAGGAACCGTGGTTTCCTTTAACTGGTTCCCCTCCCTGCTGCTCTGAATTTTCTAGAACGCGAGCAGGACAGGGATGCTCTGACCCTGTAGGAGGGCCGGCTTCTAACTATCGCTTGCAGAAGATGTTTGTTCTTCCTCCCTAGATGCAGTGGAAGCTATTGCTCACTCACCTACTATCCCCCGTTATCACTGAGTCAGTTCTGACTTATACTTATAGACACATACATATCTGACACATGATAGAGCAGAATGGCCCTGTAGGGTTTTCAGGGCTGTAATCATTATGGAAACAATTCTGGTAGCATAGAGTGTTATATGTTGGGCTTGATAACCACAAGGTCAGCAGTTCAAATTCACCAGCTACTCCAAGGGAGGAAAATGGGCCATCTTCTACCAATAAAGACTAGCAGCTTTGGAAATTCAATGAAAGGCCAGCTTTTGAACCTTTACAAGATCAGACTGCCAGCTCTCTCCTGCTAAGCAGCTGGTAGATTCAACCCCCTAACTTTTCACTTAAAGTCTGCGCCACCAGACAGACTTCCCACCTGTTCTCACTGTCATTGTTGTCCAGTAAGAACTGACTCATGACAAACAGTCCAGCAGGGGATCTTAATCATGTGGGAAGAGATTACCCATCTGCCTCCCGCACATGCTGGTGGAGTCAAACCTCCAGAGAGAAGCCCCATTTCAGGTGGCACGGTGACACTTCATGGACTGAGCCTCCAAAGCTCTCCCACCTACTAGGAGGTCCCTCCACCCTCCACTGACCCTCCGCCCCCTCAATTTTATTCAGAGTACAACCTGTTAAGTTTCTTGGCTTTCCAACCAGCCCCAGCCACCTCCTGTCCTTCCTGCGGGCAGGCTCAGTGCATGACCTGTTTCTCCAGAGTTTTGTTGCTTTTTCATTCCTTAAAGTTAATTGCAACTCAGTCTGAGTTACAATCCTGTTTATTTTATTTTAATAAGTGTTTATAGCTGGAGGGTTTTCAAATCTGCTGTTACTGGAACAAGTCCGCTTTCTATTTACATATAAATAGAAAATAAGTACATATAGTTATTTATGTTTACATTTACATGTGACCTAATAGTCAAACCTGCTAATGAGAGGAGAACAACAGAGATAGGGAAGTGAAGGTCTGAGCTCTGACTTTAAGGGAAAGAGGATGTAAAATAGGGGACAAGGCATTGACATTGGCATTTTCAATTGTTTACAGTATAGTAAACAGTTAACCACACAGTGCTCCAAATAATATGTAGTAAAGACTGATGATGGCAGCACATATTTCTGATTATTTTCTCTTTTAGGAATTTTTATCAGCAGTATCACACACCAATAAAATTATTAAAGAAAATTCACTCTGCAGAAGTAGATGCCAGTAAAATTATGAAAAGGAAGGCCTGGTGAAAGAAACATATACCCTTTGCCTAGACTTATCCCTTCTTATTAAAAGGATGTTTGGTTTGGGTTTGTTGTTTTTTTTCTACAAAAACTTGGTGAGTTCTTGTCATGTGATTAGTGATGACAGTTAGGGATAAAGGTGGAAAATAAATTACAAATATTAAAAAATGACTTCTGGCTTCAGGACAAGGGGCTGGTGGTGTGATTATCTGTGGGACGTCATCACATTTGAACAAAATATTTTCTTTCAAAAACATTTGAAAACAAAGTTACAGAGTTGTGAAAGACTGAGTATATTAATTGGGATGCATTTGGTTACCTGAAAGGAAAAACCTGACTTAAAGACACTGCTGTTTCGGTTGAGTACCATTGAGTCAGAACCGACCCACAGTTGACCCTTGACTGGCTTTTCAGAGGCTGTTAATCGCATGGGAGGAGATTGTCCATTCTTCTCCCTTGGAGCAGCTGGTGGATTCAAACCATTGGCCTTTAGGATTTCAGTGCAGTTTCTTACCACTAAGCTACCAGAGCTCTCTTTAAAGACAGTAGAACGTTCTCTCCCTCCCTCCCTTCCTCTCCCCCTTTCTGGTTGACAAAAGGTGTTAAAGTAGGTGAGCCCAAAGCAGATGTTGGATTGACTACGACTCACAGCAAATCTGTGGCCTCCACATTTGAATACTGTCCTCTCTCCTGTGCCATCCTCATCATCTGTGCTATATATTACATCATCATTTTTACAGTCACTGCGTTGATCCATCTCATTGAGGATCTTCTCCCTCCCCACCCCTCCACTTTTCCAAGAATGCTAATCTTAGCAAAGACCCAAATGTATTCCAGTTTACCACTGTGCTTTCCTTGACACTCAGATCCTTGTTCTCAGGCTTGTTGATATGCTTATCCCTGCTTGCAAAGGAGGTGAGGAAAGTCAATCTCTGGGAGTCTCTAGCTCTTATGGGTGATGTCTGCTGGGCTGTCAACTCCACCTCAAGCCCCCTTGTAGAACAGACGAGAACTCTCCTCTCGGCTCCCCGAGGCTATAATCTTTACGGAAGCAGATTGCCAAATCTTTCTCTCTTGGAGCCGTTGATGGATTCGAGCCACTGCCCTTTTTGTTAGCAGTGTGTGCTCACCCATTGCACCACCAGCACTCCTGGCCTTTAGAGCAGGTGAGAAAAAAGAAAGCAATGTCAAGAAGGACTCTTCACATCACCAATCAATAGTGTCTGCCTCACAAGCAAATATATTTGCAGCGTATATGGCAGTTGAAGGTGTAGTATATCCAGTTAAATGAAGAATTCATACACATTAAATTAAACAGCCGTCCTTGTTGCAAACAGGTATTCTCAAGAAGAGAATAAAATGCAAATGGATGAAAGTTGTGAAAAGATAATTGGTAATTTTCAGAAAAGTGAAAATTAAAACAAGATTAGAGTATTATGTTTTATCAGTCAAGTTAGTAAATATATAAAGTTTATATCAAGGGTTAAAGATTAGGGGAAATGACACTTTATAAATTATTGGCAGAAGTATGAGCTGTAAGGTCTTTTTGGAGTAATATTTGACAGTGTATCTGTGTATCTTTTGGGTTTCATATTTCTGTTCTTGGTATAGTGTTCTGAAAAATACTAACACTTGTCCATAGTGATGGCCTAGTCCAGAGGGAGTCACACTCCAAAAGCCACACTTCTTTGGCAGTTCAAATCCGCTGTTGGAACTTGAGAGAAAGATGGACAAGGTCCTCCTGTGTGATTGATTTACAGCCTAAGAAATCTGGAGGGCGGGCTATGGATGGTTTCTGAGTCACTGGCAATGTTTCTTTTGCTGTTGGCATGTGCTCTTAGGCCAGAACCAACTCCTAACTGATCCTCCAGCAGGTTGTCAGAGTCTTTCAGTCACACAGGAGGAGATTGCCCATCTTTCTACTGTGGAACCACTGGTGCATCAGTTTAAAATATATGGCTTAGTGATACGGAGTGGCACTGCCAACTCAGAGGAACGTGGTTCAAATCCACCAACTGCTCTCTGAGAGAAAGCTGAGTAATCTCCTCCTGTGCCATTTACAGCCTCCGAAAACCTACTGGAGGGTCAGCTATGAGTTGATTCTGACTTGACGGTGATGAATAACAACAACACACACATATGCATACATACCAAGAATATTCACTCATATTTGCATAAATCACATAGGCATAACTTACATATTTATATTTAGATAGATACTGTTACAAAATAGTGGAGGCAGTGTATTAATACAGCAAAATCTTAATGGGAAATTCATGGAACTAGAGTTTCAAAAACACTAATCTTATTGTAGACAAAGATGTTACTACATTGATGTGCTTGTAGAAGGAGTATAAGGACCCAGGAGTCGTGGGAGAGGCTGGAAGCAGAGGGATGTGGATGTATAGGGGGAAGAGGGGATTAATCATTGTATTGTACAATTTAATGAGTGGGAGGGTGAGGGAAATTGCAAGAATTTGTTTGAATTTGTATTAGAATTTTGTAAATAAACTAGTGAGCAAAAAGGAAAAATAACAGTTTCATCTCAATATTATAAGACATAGACAATTTTAAATTAACAGTGTATGATAATATTTTCATCCATTTGTGGTATTATGTAATCACAGAAGAAATTAACCCTATAAATTTTCAGGACTTAAAATGGTTTGGCATAGAAAGTTCTCTCAAGTTATAAAATCATCTACAGGGAAGACAAGGGGATGTGGAAAATTTCCAGTAAGGGATCGTGATGAATGTATACCATTACACAATGCGTTGGCCTTTATACAAAATAAGGATAATATGATCCATATTGTGGGGGAAGTGGATGGAATATACAGTTTTGAAATTGTTCTTCATGCTAATACTTAACATCTGTTTGCCAGGGTGGTCCAGGACTCCGTGGACCGAAGGGTCAGCCGGGTGAACAAGGTCCAAAGGTAATGTGTTCTCACTCGCTCTCTCTCCCTCTCTTAACAATCATTTTGGAGTTCAACACCATTGATTGACCCTATTATGGAAATTATGGCCAATACAGCTTTCTTTCTCTTGAAGATTTGTGCTTTTAAATCCTAATGACTATTTAATAACTCAATGAATAGAAGGTTTTCTGGGTCAAAAGCAGGCGCGTCAGTGTTCAGAGGGGCTTCATCTCCAGGTCGTGTTCCTCGTCACCTGTCTAGCTCTCTCTAATAGCCTCTTGCTTCCTTCCCTTCCTTTATCTCCCACAGACTTGTGTCTTTGGGCACAGCTGGGCAGAGGCTCTGTCTTAGGTAAAGTCCCTAGGGTTTGGATTTCTCTTTGTCCCTTGCCACAACGTAGAATCACACGTGCAGCTGTTTTCCATTCCCACTGCCCAAGGCCTCCCAGGCACCAGCCAAGGGGACCGGGCCATGCCTAGCCATGTCAAGGCATACACTTTTCCACTTTGCATGAAGGTACCCTATGAGCTGGCACAAGTTCTCCCCCTAATTGAATTCAGGTCTCTCCATCTTTTATCTAGCTTTTTGGCAAATTTTCTAACTGGTCTCTTAGCTCCAGAAGTTTGACTTTACAGTTGATTCATTTCCTTCAAGTCTATGCCAGGTCATATCGTCCCCCTCAGGACTTGCAGTCCTGGGCTATTGCATGGTACACACAGTTCACACTTTGTGACGTGGCATCCAAGATCCTTTCTAATTTGTCTCCTTTCTCCTTGTTGCTTAGTGTGATCTCAGCTCCAGCCATCTTGCTTTATTAATTGCTTCAGTATAGTTATTAATTTACACAGTGTTTATCCATAGAGCTGAAAACAGTTAAATAGTATGTACGTATTTATTACTTATATCTTTGACAGTCTTGGTCTCACTGGGGTTGCAGCCTGCCTGAGGAGCCCCCCACAAGCCACCACAAACAATATACCAGAGGGCCTGGGGACATCCAGGCCATACAAAGAGTGGTGACCCAGGGGCAAAGGACACCTTCACTTATTTGCCTTTGTTGGTCTGTCTGATCATGGAGGGTGATGGTGGGATGATGTGAGGTGGCAGGAAGGGAATTGGATGAAGGCCTGAAGGTGCTGGGGAGGTTGGGGGAAGACACAGCAAGAGGAGGAGAGACATGGGGATTGTGTGGTGCTAAGAGGCCAGGGTGGATGGAGGTGAGTGGTGTCTCTGCTCCAGTGTGGGCAGCAGTAGACACTGGGCAGCACTGAACTACCACTCCCACCATCCCCACCATCTATGGGAGCGGGTAAGATGTGAGAAAAAGGGGTCCCCTTGCAATAAATGCCCCCCAAACCTCTAGACATGCACCACTAGGGGTCTCACCATACCAAATGCAGCCCTAGACAGACCGGAGAACAGTGAGCACTGTGGGGGAGGGGAGGGAGGAGCATTAACTACCAAAGATAGGGCATAGCCCCCAACTCTCCTATATGCCAATTTCATATAATGACCTGGTTTGGGGGTGCTTTATTTGGTTTTATGACCTGATTTTTAAAAAATCAAATCATGTAAAAGTGAGGAGTTATAGTTGTCATGTGTTGTCAGGTCGGAATCGATTCATAGCTGACACGTCAACAGGTTTTCAGAGGCAGTAAATCACACAGGAAGAGATGCCCATCCTTCGCCCACTGAGCGGATGGTGGATTTGAACTGCCGGCCTTTGGGACTGCGGCACCACTTCTTACCACTAGGTCACCAGAGCTCCTTAAGTGAGGAAATTGGTCATCTCTCTCCCAGCTGGTAGATTAGAAACATTTGGCTTTAGATTGGACAGTGCACCTCTTTGCCCTCCAGGTCACCAGAGCTCTGGACTAGAAAGTCCGAGTCTTAATACAATTAAAGATCAGCTGGAATTTGTGTCACAGACTGAAAGAAGGGGAAGAGAAATTGAAGACAAGCATATTTTATGGGTCTTAGATTGCAGGGGTGGTGTGTTTCCAACTAAACCACAACAAAGGCCCAAGTTTGGCTGCAGAATAAGGAGAGGAAATTAAGCAACATGGACGCTGAGGAAGGACATTTAAGAGGCACGAGATGATGACAGAAAAGAGGCGAGGGAGGTAGTAGGGTCTAGGTGTGAAATCTCCCACAGATGCAGAGGTGTGCCTCCGAGGTAGACAGCCGACAACTGTGAAGATGAAACTGAGGTAGTTCAGGGGGAGGAGGGAACCTTCCCAGGCCAGGAGGGTGGTCTCGAAAGATTCTGCCTTTTAAATGCATTATAGAGTGTGTGGGGTCTAGTTACTCACATAATTGGCATAGCCTTCCTATTTATGGGAGCAAAAAATAAAGCTGCAGCATTTCCTATGTGTTTACATTCTGGTTTACTGATGACATTTCTCCTGGGAGGTGAATCATTTGAGGGTTGGTGTCTTGTTATCTTACGCATGTTTCATGTTTTGGGAGAGTTTATTTAAGAAAACATATTTTGTGTACCTCAAAAAGAAACCTCTTCCAGCCAGCAGAGGCTCTCATTTTTGGCGTGACTTTTCTCTATTGCCTTCCAGGGACCAGAGGGCCCTCGAGGTGAAACAGGCCCTACAGGACCCCAAGGCCCTCCTGGGCCCCAAGGACCGAGTGGTCTGTCCATTCAAGGAATGCCTGTGAGTTGTGGGGAGGCTGAGGAGAGCTCCTTTATTGTGTCTTCATGAGGTTACAAAGAAGGGTCTTTTGTCTTCTGTGCTTAATAAAGAGCCTTAGCCGCTCCCTACCCCTAAGAATAAGACTAGAGAAATGAATTGCATAAGGCTTATGTAATAACTGAGGTCCATTCATTAGCTATATCTTCAGCCAATTTTCTTGTTTACTGATGTGAGGCTCTTATAAGAAACAGGTTCATGCTTGGCTAGTAGGTCCACCCACAAGCATTTTGTCTATAGAAGAAAAACGGGCCGTAACTTGTACAACCTTTGTGCTTGTTTGAGTTCTTAATGGATGTGATGAAACCCAGAAAGTAACAAATGTTAGAGATACTTAAGTCCTTCAAATTATTTACTGGTAGAAATTGCAATTATCGCTCAATGACAGTCACTTATACGTTTTTATCTCAACTGGCATGAAAATACAATCAACTGAGAGGTTTAGATTTTGCATGGTGTGTAAGGCTGCATTTTGCTATCAATGTTGTTTGCCTCATTGGAAATAAGATTCATTCCACTTTCTGAATTTCACTAATATTGCTATAGAAATGTAAATTTTAAAATTAAAAACCATTTCTGCAATTAATATTTGAAGCAACCAGATCTTCATAAGCATATTTTTAAAGCAATGATTTGTTCATGTGCTGTTTCTGCAGCTAAGATATAAGCTAATTAAGTCTTCAGATTTATTGTCACATTATAGAAAGCCTTAACATCCCAATTTGTATAATTAAAACTTCTAATAACACACATTTTCTTAAGTCTTATTACCAATCTGGTTCTGTGGTTATTTTCCCATTCTAATCTACTTCTTCTAGTCAACTAAAAAAAAAAATCGTCATGAATTTTAACATGGAAACTTCGAATAATAGCTAAATGTTTGTATATCTCCTCCATGTGTTTTCAGTATGCATTCAACCATATGGGACCATGTATTCTATGTTTAAATTATTGCACCACATACACATGGTGCTTCATGGGAATTTTTATGTAAATGATGTGTTGTTGTTGTTATGTGCCATCGAGTCACCTGCAACTCATAGCGACCCTATGTACAACAGCCCTAAGCCTGCCCTATCCTGTGCCAATCTCACTGTCTCCAACACACCTACCCCCATTACCCCAGTCACTGAATCAATCCACCTCATCTAAGGTCTTCCTCTCCTGGGCTGTCCCTCCACCCTCCCAAGCATGACGTCCTTCTCCAAGAACTGGCTCCTCCTTACAACATGTCCAAAGTATGTCAGACAAAGCTTCAGAATCCTTGCCTCCAAGGAGCAGCCTGGTTTAACCCTCTCCAGGGTAAACCTGTTCATTTTCTTAGCAGTCCATGATATATTCAATACTCTTCTCTAGCACCACAGCTCAAAGGCATCAATTCTCCTTCTCTCCTCCCTAGTCATTGTCCAGCTCTCTGACACATAGCAAATGATTGCAAAGACCATGGCCTATATCAGACACACCTTAGTCCCCAGAGTGACACCACTGCTCTTTAGCACTTTGGAGAGGTCCCTAACCTGAAAACCCTATAAATGATGTATGTGAAAAGTAAAATAGACTGTATTTTGATATTGCCATACTAACTGTTTAATGTCAGATGTGTAAAAACCATCTAATGTAATGCCCAGTTAGTGAGGCCAAAATCATGAAGAATTTAGATATATGACCTTAACCTTTTATACTTGTTGGTGTCTAGGGAATTCCAGGAGAAAAGGGAGAGAAAGGAGATACTGGTCTTCCCGGACCTCAGGTAGGAATATTATTTTTTCCCCCCTCTTTACTGATCTTAGCTCTAGAGCTTTACCAAGAGTCAAGAATTCTAGCTGGGATTGCATTCAGTAGTTTCCATATTAAGGAACGTTTGCCTACCAGGCAGTCCCCTGGTTACGAATACCCTATTTATGTACAACCTGTAGTTACAAACCAATCTCTATAAAACCTATTATGGTGAGAATTACACACACAGAGAGAGTTGTTTGGAATAATGGCCAGTATTTTGAAACATGCATTAAAATATTTTAACTAATATTACCGTATGATTACATTAAAATACCATAAATGTGGAAATGCTTCTTTCAGCTTTTTAATTCACAGAAGGGTACTCTGTATACTCTCTACTAAGGCAAACATTTGACTTGCTGATGTTAAAAAAGATCCCTCCTTGATGTTCGATTCACGTTTAAATTTGGCGTAAAGGCAGATGTGGGAATGGAGCTCATTCATAACCTGGGTCCTACCTGTATGCATCTACCTTAAGCCCCTTCTAAGAGTCACACAGATGCTCCCCAGAATGAGTTCTGTTCTTTCCTATGTGTAAGTTTTGAGTTCTGAACTCCAAAGCTCAAAGACCTCACCTTCCTACCACCAAGTTTACTTGGAAACCTTGAACTGTTTCAAGGAAGCTAGGAGATGGAGTGACTCGAACCCGTGCACCTGACTGTGTTCTGCTCTCTCTGTGCAGGGTGTCCCGGGAGGTGTGGGCTCACCAGGACGTGATGGCGCACCCGGCCAGAGGGTAAGAACTTGCCTCACCCTTGGTTGTTAGCAAAGCAGGCTTCTCATGTGGTCACTGTTCGCTGCTAGTAAGTTTCTTTGTTAAGGAAGTCAAGTTCTTGTGGTGTTTCCACCCCTCCACCCCATTTATCTATATCTTAACCTATTATGATGTTTTGGAAGCAGGAATGGCATCCACTTCCTAAATAACATGCTTCTAGAAATTCTATGAACTTTGATAAAAGATGATACAGAAAGGCTTCAGGCCTTTTGTTCACAAGGTCACTATGAGTCATGCTCAACTCAAGGTAACCAACACACACACATTTGATGATGCTATTTCACGCCAATACTGTCTATAGTCACATATGAACTTGGAGAAGCAGGATAGCTATGGAAAAGCATTAGGTCTTTTGTGTATAGATTTGCTATGAGTCGACCTCGACTTGACGGCAATCAACGATAACAACTATCTATAGCCATTACTTTCATCAAAGCCTGCGAACTCCTGTCAAACCGTCTTTAATTATCATCAGTTTTTTCTGAACCCCTACAACCTAAATATACTTTGTTCTGAGTTGTGTGCCTTAGTTTAGTACATTTTCCTGTTCTTTCAAATCCTCTGGGCAGAGACTTAAATATATAAATTGACATTTAAGTCTTATCCCTATCTGCAGTATGACTTACATGAAATTTCCATTTATTTAGTATATGCTCATTGTCTGTTCATTTAACCTGTTCTGAAGAATGGTACTCACTCATTCATTGCTGTCCAGTTTGGAATTGACTTGTAGCTGACCCTCCAGTTTGATTTTCATAGGCTGTAAATCACATGAGATTTAAGACTGCCCTTCTTCCTCCCAAGAAGCAACTGGTGAATTTGAACCTCCTGCCTTTGGGCTGATAGATAGCTCAACTTTCTATCCACTAGGCCACCAGAGCACCCTAGTGGATAACAGTAAAAAAGAAAGCACAAGGATGATTAAGGGCTGAATAAGTCAGCCCCTGATATTTATTTAGTCTACAAGTCTTTCCTGAGCCAGGCGTGGAAGTTCTTGTCTTCAAAAAGTTTATAATCTATTAGAGGAATCATAAATAAATAAGAAACTATAATGCTATAGTTACATTCTATAATATTATGTACTATAATGGGGGTGGGGCATTTACAGAGCACAGGTGAGCCAGTGACAGAGTTCAGTGATAGAATTTTTTATTTTTTTTTTTATTTTTTAAATTTATTTTTTTTAATTTTATTATTGTTTTGTGCGTGTACCGTCAAATCAGATCTGACTGGTACAGGAGGAGATTGCCCCTCCTTCCCCGGCAGAGCATCTGGTGGATTCGAACCGTGCACCTCTGGGATTGTAGTGATAGAATTATCCCCTTCTAGGGTTCAATTCCAGGCCAGTGCCTTCATGCACAGCCACCCCTCATCCCTCAGTGGAGGTTCCCATGGTGCTGTAATGCTCAAGAGATTTCAGTGGTGAATCCAGGCCATGAGAGATTAGGTCATCAACTGAAAATCCAGTGAAAACCCTGTGGATCCCAATGTTCCAATCTAAACCAACCACAGGGATAGCACAGAAACAGGGAGCTTCGCTTCTGTTGTGTATGAGGTTGCTATGAGTTGGGGACCAGCTCCTTAGTAGATGACCTCCATGGCAGGAGTTAATACCAGGACACAAAAGATGGGTGACTAAGCCAGGCTTGGAGCATCAGGGGAGGCATTTCAGAGGAGGTACCATCTAAGTTTAGCCTCAGTTGACAGAGGTTGGCCAAGTGAATGAGGAATGGAAAGCCGTTCAGCAGAGCAGATGGTATATGTGGAAGAGTAGAGGTGACGAGAGTGTGGCATTTCCAATGTTGCATATGTTCATGTGGGGGGTTTTTTGGGTTTTTTTACTAGTTTATTTACAAAATTCTAATACAAATTCTCTCAATTTTCCTCACCCATCCACCCATCAAATTGTACAGCACAATGATTAATCCCCTCTTCCCCTTGCACATCCACATCCCTCTGCTTTCAACCTCTCCCACTTCTCCTGGATCCTTACACTCATTCTACAATAAAAGTCTTATACAATATTTATCCTTGTGAGACTGAGTTAGTTCACTCAGCATAATATTCTCCAGTCCCTCCCAAGTTAGGTAATAATTCACAAAGTTATTGCTCCTGCGTGCTGCATAGTATTCCGTTGTGTGAGTGCACCATGATTTCTCAATCCATTCATTTGTGGTTGGACATTTGGGCTGGTTGCATGTTCTTGCGATGGTGCTATGAACACTGGTGTACAAATCTCAGTTTGTACCTCAGTTCTCAATATTCTCAGGGTAATGTTCATATGTTTTGAGATTATAGCGTGGTGTGTATATGCACTGGAGTATGCAGAGATCGTCAAAAGGTGAGATTAGAAAGGTAGACACAAACCCATTCAAGGATCATTTAAGTTTTCAAGCTAAGGATTTTGAACTTGGGCTAGAAGGTAAAGGGGCAGTTATTTACTTTTCAGCAAGGATAAGAGAAATGGCTCTTCCTTAACCTGTGACTGCTTTAGACCCATGGGCAGCTCTGCAACTGCTCTGAATTATATAGATTCAATCTATTGAAATGCCATGCACTTGGGGGTCACTGGTAGTTTTGGTGCAGTGTACTAGTACACGGATGTCTGGCTGGAACGCGCACAGCTCAAACAATGGCTGCGTTACTATAGAGTAGCCACAGAGCTGAAGAATAAAGAGATGCCCCACCCCAAAATAAAGGTATAGGTATGGGATCTAAGTCCCTTTAACTTTCTTCCTACTTCCAAACCTCCAAATTTCATTTGCTCAGAAATCTCAGTTTAGTCTCTGTTCATCAAATGGAATCATATAATCCGAAAACCTTGTCCCCGTGAATGTATCTAGAGGAGGCATTCTGTAAAGTATTAGGTTTGTGTAGGTTTCTTGTGTGCATTATTTATATGTTTTGGCAGTGAGCTGAGGCTGAGATCCTGCGTGGTTCACACCTAGATTCCATCCTGGTTCCTGAAGCTCTGAAAAGGCAATTCTGATGTTCTGCTTGAGTGAGCTTCTTTGATTTGTCTATGAATGGAGTCCAGTCTTGGCCATGAACTCCAAAACCAAGCATGTGGGACTAGTGTTTGGGTCATTTGGTTTTGGAATTCTTTCTTTTCAAACCAATATACCAACACAGACTTTGTGTCAATATTTTGCTGTTCCTCCAGTGTGGAATTTTCTCCCTTATAGGATTTAAAGTCTTAAAACTGTAGTAAATTGATAAGATATCTCTACTTAGTCTTTCTGTGTTCCTCCCCACCTCAAAAGAAGCCAATTTAGAAGTAAAACATTCAGGGTGTGTCTAGCTCCTACACTGCAGATGTCTTGGATAGTGCATTCCACATTTACTTTATGAAATTAGATTTCAGGGGAAACTTTTTTTTTTTCCAGAGGACCATATTAAAGAGATTATGTGAATTCTGTAGAAAAAGCACGACTTTTCCTCGGAGCCAGGAAATAGATAGTAAAAAAGGAAAAAAGAGAATGAAAACAGAATTATTGATAAGAAGAGGTAAGAAGTCAAAGGAGTACCTTAGGTGGCTCCATTTTTTTTTTATCAACTTGATTTGAAGGCTAAGCAGAGTAAACCGCCTGGAGCCATTAAATAAGAAGCTGCCAGTATTGTAGAAAAATTATGAGGATCCAGGAGGCGAGGGAGGGGCTTAATTATAGCCACACAATTAGATGGGTGGAGGGAGAAGTGGGTAAAGGAAAGGGAGAGAAAGGAACCAATGTGAAAAACAATGTATAAGAACTTTTTCAACTTTGTATGTAAACCAGTATAAAATGGGGGGGGACCCATTTTTTAAAAAAGCTAAATAAATAAGCGGGGGGGGATGGGGGAGTCAGCTTTGGGAGGGGGAAGGGAGGAAGAGGGTGTAAAATGTGCAACAATGAATGAATGGAAAATCCAACTTTTCTGTAAACTTTGTTAAAATGACAAAATAAATTTTATTTAAAGAAAAAACAAAAAAAGAAACAAAATGTGAATGAAAATAAAGACACCCAAAAAGAATTCTTTTAAAAGTTAAAAAAAAAATAAGAAGAAGCTAGTCAGCTGCACCGTTGAAGGTAGAAGGCTGTGAAAGAAACAGAAAACAGGACTTGGGGGCACAGGGCCATGAGCATCTGTCTGAAAGGGCCAGAGAGAGTGAGAATCGTACAGTTCCTCACCGCCCCAAAGCAGAAAGCAGATAAAGAGCCTGTAGAGCCTTTAAACGGTTTATTTGCTGTTGACTCACAGACTTTACTCACAGTTGTGATACTGAGAATGGGATTTATTAGGGAAATAAGTGGAGAGGGGGAGAGGCAAAGAATATCTCACAATATGAGTCCAGGTTTAGTACAGCAGTCCCAAACCAGATTAACAGCAAAATACAATTCCTTAATTCGTAAAAGTCCTGGCAACACAAACTGAAGAAGCCTCTGGTTTCCTCAGTCACATGGCAGGATTTGCCTCAGAGCAGTTTTAAGTCAGCTTCTCCTTCAATGATCCAGTAAGCACAACAAACCCTTTAACTGTGGTTTTTTCCCTCAGGGCTTCTCTAGTTACACCTAGCCACAGTTTCTCTATAGGAATGCCACAGTTTCTACATCACAGTCAGCAGGGTCTCGCCCTCATCAGGGTCTTGCTTTCACCAGGGTCTCTTCCAGTCTTCCTCAAGTCTTACCATCCAGCATGGGAAACACTCTATCTTATCCTAGTCCCACAGCTGTTGATTATTTGCTAGAACAAGTGTCTGCAGTTAAAGGTGGTAACTAGCTGGAGACCAAAGGGAGATATCATAGCTTAAAAAGCCATTTTTAGACTAACAGCACAAAGGCCCAGGGCCCACCTTAATAGTGGTGGTTGTTATTTGTATGTGCCTTTGAGTTGGAGCACTCGTAGCTCACAGCTGACTCTCCAGTAGGTTTTCAGAGGCTGTAAATTGCACAGGAGGAGACTGCCCAGCTTTTATCTGTAGG